CTTCAGCTACTACAGCTAGAAACCACTTATTATGGCCGGAATCTTTCTGTCATGATGGATTCAGACCTGAACCAGAGGCACATAAACTCAGTTACTAAGTCAGCCTTTTATCACCTGAAGAACATCTCCAGGATTAAAGCACTAATTTCCAAGCAGGGTCTTGATAAAACTAATTAATGCATTAAGTTTTAGCAGAATTGATTAATGCAACAGTCTCTTCACAGGTTTCCCTAAAAAGTCCATCAGACAGCTTCAGTTGATCCAAAATGTTGCTGCCCATGTTCTCACTAGAACTAAGAAAGTAGAGCACATCGGCCCAGTTCTGAAGTCCTTACACTAGCTCCCTGTAGCTCAGATAATAGACTTTAAAATCTTTTTTTTTAGTCTATAAATAACTGAATGGATCAGCACCTCAATACATAACAGATTTGTTGTCAGTTTATCAACCTCCCAGACCACTCAGGTCTCCTAGTTCAAGCCTACTCTGTACACCCAGAACCAGAACCAAACACAGAGAAGCAACATTTAGTTCCTATGCCCCACTTATCTAGAACAAATTTTCAGAACAATGTAAAAGTGCTGAAAGCCTGAGTAAAAAAAAAAAAAAAACATTTGTGTAGAACTTCCTTTGACTGTTGAAGTCAAACTGCTAACTGAGGTATTACTAGTTTAAAGTTCTCAGTTGGACATGTCATGATTCGTTGTTATGGTTTTCACTTTGAGTTTTCAGTTATGCTTTGATTTTTGCTTTGTCTGTGTTTGCTGTTAATATTAATATCATTTTTGCATGACTTGTAATTTTTTACACTTCCGTGGTGTTTATTTAGTTATCTCTTTTCAGTACTCTTGGTATTTATTTATCTCATTCTGTCCACACCTTGTCCCAGTTAGGTGATTATTTCTTTCATTGTTCTGTCTACTTTATTTATTCATCCTCTTACTCATTGCTGGATTCTCTTCATTCCATAATTTATCATTCCATAAACTATCTATGTTTTTCCCAAGCATCTCATTGTTTTGTTTCCTGAGTTCCCTGCCTTTTATTTCTGGATGTATGCTTCTGCTGCAAACTACCTCATCATAAAATCTGTAAAAAAAAAAAAAAAAAAAAGCATCTCTGCCTTCTGTCTTCGCATTTGGTTCCTCTACAAACATCCACCAAACCTGACAGGACCAAGTTGAGGTCAAACAGTTTTATTTTTTTAAAACCCGCTTTTATCATTTTATCATGCTTATTTTATTTTATTCTGCTTTTATTTTGTTCTATTTTATTGTCTGCACCATGTAAAGTCCTTTGAATTGTCTTTGCATTGAATTATACAATGAAAATAAACTCCCTTGCTTTGCCTGGAGACCTTGCAACCAATATTCATCATTTTAGCAAACCCACTTTTTTAAAAACCACATTTGCTGGTAAATTCAGTAAATGACTGTTTATTGAGACTCCAAATTATTATTTAGAAATATTAAACTACACAGTCCATCAAACATAATTTCTAGTATAGATGTGGATGGTTTTGGTAAGAATAATACAATTATTAACAACTATTCTATATTCTATATTATAATTTGTAATACATTTTTCATAATCAAATGATAACTGCATAACACCACAAAGGAGCTCTGTTGAAGGCTGGATACCACAAAGGAGCTCTTGAGAAGTAACAAAGAGAACCTCAGACAAGAACCTAGAAGGAATCATAAAAGGAGCAATGGTCAGCTTCCCGTCCCAGAATGCCATACTTCGCCTAGACTTAAGCATAAAACAAGTCTCAGTCTTAATTCCACAAAATCTGTGGGGTGAGCTAAATGGAGAGGTACACAAGAATGAACACACTGACTGATCTAGACTGTGCAAAAAGAAATGGAATAAGATCCACTCTCAGTGTACTCTAACCTTGTAACATGCTATGAAAGAAGCCTAAGTGCCAACATTTTGCTGAAAGGGATTTTACAGCAGGGGTACTGACTATGGTCCACCAGTGATTTAGTTAGAAACATTTCCTCATTCACTATTAAAATCAAATTAAAATCAATTATATAGTTTTGTCTTTTATTTTATACAAAATAGTACAACAATAAAATATAAATGTAAATGTTTTTACATGTCTTTACCAGTGCAGTCAATAAATGCACAACGGTACTGTGTAATGTGTGCATTAAATCCTTAATGATGATTTTTTTTTGCATCAAAGCTGTAATGACAGTTCATTAGTACTGTTTTCCTTTAGTGCAAATTCCGGGATTTGTATTTTGCTGCAACAGAAAACCTTTGACTCCTTAAGGGGTTTATTAAAATATAGACCAATTTTAAAGCACACTAACAATGCTAAAACTGAGCAAATAAAACATATTTGAAGAATGCACTGCTCACCTATTAGAAACATAAAAGATCGGAAAACATTGAGAAATTATGAACAAGAAGAGAGGAAAGCATACATATCTCACAGCCACTCACTTTGCCTAATTAAGCATGCTTAAGGCAGTGCTCAAGTCACCAAAGCTACAAATGGGTTCCTCCGAGCCCCCAGGGAGCAGAGTGCAGAGAGGAACCAGAATGAAAATAAACACGACAGCTCCGAATGATAATGCATGTGCAAGATATGCTACCGGGGGTTCCCCCAACTGCTGCAGCTCAGTACAGATATCATAGGAGCAAAGTGAAGCCTTTGTGTGTTTTGGGGATATGTGCTCATTTCATGTGCATATTATGTTCCAGACTGATGCTGACTGTTCCTGCAAGGTTGAAGCTTCTTCTCTTTCCAGTGCTGTGCAAGATAAGATACAGTATCTCGGGCAGCAGAGAGAGACTGTCATACTTACCTTCTGATCTTAGTGTCTTCACAGGAAATAAATGAAGGAAAAAAAAAACATCCTAGCTGCCTCAATGGAGATTTAATGAAACCACAGGATGGGCAGGGACATCATTACTTGGTTTAGCAGCCAAGACGTCTAATATAACTCTAGAGGAGCTGCAGAGATTTAAACTTCAGCTTGAAAACTCTGTCAACAGAATAACTATATGATGTGCATTCCAACAGTCTGAACTTTAAAGTGTAGCAAGAAGAAAGCTTCTATAGAACTGAAATCTCATTAACAGTTTGTCAAAAGTAATGTAGGGGACAATGCATATATGTGGAGTAACACACCATATCAACCTAAGTGCACCATCCCCACAGTGGAATATAGTGGTGGCAACATAAAGCTGTGTTGTTTTTTAATTTTGCTTTTTTGTTAGTGGCACCAGATAATCTAAATTGATTGGATATAGATAATTATGAAGATATATTGGAAGAAAAGCAGCACCCAAAGCCATTCTGAATGAAATCCAGTATTCATTTGCTGGCAGTAAGAGGCTACTGTGCAGTTTTTGTTTTATCTCAGCTCCTTCACTTAAAGCCTGTAAGATATGAAAACTAAATATACAAACAATAAATAACCCCAATGACTGCAGCTTTATGTAATAACACAACAGAGGCTTACATACATCTAAGGCCTATCCAGTTCTTAGGAAATAAAAGAATTATAATTATGATAATTTGCCTTTAATTTCTAATTTAGATACAGGTATCCCTCTGCCAACTGGTTGTTTATTTATGCTAAAAATCTGCTGCAAAGGCCCTAAACATTGTAAAATATTTCTGTTTTTCTCACACAGTTTAAGAATGTGTTCAAGGAAGTGTCTAGAGTGTGAGAGAATCTGATGCTCCAATGGTTCAGACGTCCTGTCTCAACCAGTGGAGCATCAGATTCTTTCACAGAGAGAGTAACTCCAAAATGCATGAAATTTCATGTCATGCACATAATGGTCCTTACGGAGTGGTAAGAAAGGAATTAAAATGAAGGAGAGGAGAGGAGAGGAGAGGAGAGGAGAGGAGAGGAGAGGAGAGGAGAGGAGAGGAGAGGAGAGGAGAGGAGAGGAGAGGAGAGGAGAGGAGAGGAGAGGAGAGGAGAGGAGAGGAGAGGAGAGGAGAGAGAAAAATCATTAAACTAAAAAGCAGACTACTTAAAAAGGAGAAAGAAGGTCTAAAGAGATGGCAGTATGTTACCCTTCTGTTGTCTGCTTGCAGTTTGTGCCCCACAGCTACTTCAAAATTTTGTCAGAGACAACAGAAAAAAAAATCTGAGTGCGCATGCTGAGATTCATCATCATTTGCAGCACAAAAGAGGCACATGGTGTTTGTGTGTGTGTGTGTGGGGGGGGGGGGGGGGGGGGGGGGGGCATTATATATGGAAAAGCCATTCAATTCATGAGGAGGAGATTAGCTGTTACTGATGATGCTCCAACCCTTTTTCCCTCAATTATCCTATTTTCTCCCCTCATTTCACTCTAAAACCATAGCCTAAAGCCCCAATGGTAACCAACAGCATCCTGGTCACCATGGTTGCCAAGGATGCCTGGCATTTTTGACAAATAATGAAGCAGTCTCAATGAAATATTTTAGGAGTGGAGAAGTGGAGCTCAAAATGTCTTGGCCAGACATCGAGGGGGATGCCAAAACAATCCAATACTGATTGCTGAGCTGTGGCATGGGTTAAAGATATGTACATTTTCAGATTCTTATTTAAATATATGGTTATACATTTACAAATCTAATCTGAAAAGTGGATTTAGCGCAGACTGGTGCGTTATTAACTATAAATATTAAGATGCTTTGTTGCCCCCTAGTGACAAATGCAAAATGGGCATTTTCAGCACCAGGGACAGTTTCCCACTCCTGTCATTTACATTTACCTATATGATGGTCTAAATCTTTTGAATGATTAAGAAAATACACAAAATACCGCCTCTATTAAAACATTTCATTTTTGGCATGATGAGTCCTCTAATGCAAATCGTTCGTTGTCCAATTAACACCCATGTCCTGAGTGTTTATTCCAGGGCTGCTGATGAAAAAGAGGAGAACTGGGTTCCAACGCATTAGGCAATATAACCCCTCTTAAAAATATGTGCCCTCCCCTAATGAGATCAAAGGATTAGCAGAAGAATTAATACTTACCCCCCTCCAAACTGAGATTTCTGCAAACTTCAAGCTCCGCCATTTAGATGTGGAGTGGAGTGATCCCTCCGTGCGCTTTGGGCATCTTTTTATTTTTATCATTCCCTACTTGTGGCAGCGAGGAGATGCCAACATGCCATCCAAAATGCCTAAGCATCCATGATGTTCAAAACAAGCGCACCATGAGTACAGTGTCACTTTTCTTGCCCCCTTCTTACAGACGCACCCTTTTAACATCTTTGATCCTCATCCTCTCGTTTGCGCAAAGAACATCTTTTTTTCTCACATCAGGCGCAACGCCGTGGCGGAATAACGATAAGCCGATTTCGAGAGAGTGAATGTTAATAAGCAACAGCTCAGGACGCGCGTGGAGAGAGAGAGAATTGGGTAAAATAGCGCGCAAAAATGGGGGTGGGGAGGGGGACGGAGCGGAGGCAGTGTGGGCATTTTATCCGCTTTTCTTCACATTCCGCAGCAAAATGTATAAATATAATTGTCACCACACCCATTTGCGTGTTTGAATTTTCTCTGGAAATACAAAATAACGGAATCATTTCACAGAGGTGACCCACTTTACGCAGCCTTGTCTGTTTTCGGATCTACTTCAGTTTATGCGGGGAATTTAAATTGGACTTCCCAGGAGTTAACCCGAGTGTGACGCGCAGACGTTAATTAATGGTCGTAGTTAAAAAGGCTTTTAAACTGTGCAGAGCGTCCCTGTGTGCCTTTTTTTGTAGCCAGAAGCGAATCACTCCCGATTGAGTCATCCCCCTAATGAAAGTCACGTCAGTCTGGAGCTCCCAGATTAGTTCAGTTTCACGTTGGGAAATCCCATTTCGTTTTTGTGGAGAGGATCACCGTAGATGTAGATTATTAAGCTGCAGTCTCTCCATGAGAAAAACGGTTGTTCTTGTTTTTTTTCTGCTTTGGTTTTTCCTTTTGTCTCTCAGTGTGGCTGTGATCTCTTTTTTTTATCAGCATCATGCATGGCAAGTATTTGAAACTGCATTTTTTCTTGACTCTGACATTTTGACACGTTATTACCATAAACTTCAATGTATATTATTGTTTTTTATGTGACAGCACAACAGAAAATAAAGCATAATTTAGGGCTGCACAAGTCAAGTAGAAAATATTGAAACATGCACCTGCCATGTAGGCTCCATTATAGTGGTACCTTACAGAAAATATAACTATCCATGGACGTAAATATGGGGGGGGGGGACCGGGTGTCATGTCCCTTTCACTTTTTCAAACGCCCGTTTTGGTCCCCTGCACGATTTAAGGCCAATTTATACTTATGACGCAGAGGCTCTGCAACTGTCGTCGCACACATCAACCCCGCGCAGACCTCAAGCGGAAGTGCGCAGACAAAGAGCAGCTGTGATTGTTCCTTGGTGTGCCTTTCCGGCTGTTTGTGTGGTTGTCCTTCTTGATTCGGTGCCCGGGCGCGACATTTTAAAAAATCAAGGCGTAATAACAACAATGAATAACCACAACGAAAGGCTGATCAAGGAGGTTCGGAAGTACAACTACTTGTACAACTACGATGCCTCAGACATGTTGTTTTGGAAAATAAACACTCCCGCTGAAGCAGTTCTCGTGACCATCCATCGAAGTTCTCATGAGTTCTCGAAATGGCTCCCCCTAGCGCTTTGGCGGGAAACTGCTGTGCATCCCTAGAAATTCCAGACCAAAGGTGCAGAAGCATACCAGCAAAACTGTTTTGCAAGCGACATTTGATGTGTGCCGTTGCAGAAGTATAATCTGCCCTTTGCTGTCCAAAAACATGGTAACGCTATTCACGGGCACTAGGACCAAGCGGAAAACTGCAGCTCAAACTGGAGCCTGCTTCCCAGAGTTTGGTCCGCCCACAAGGTCCTGATTGACCGACCATCTTTTCTTGCATGACTGGCTATCTGAAAACCCGACAGCCACTGTCTGAATCGGGTCTGTTATTGGATGGTCAAACACGCTGAATTCAGTTATATTAAAAATGACTTGCATCCTCCCCAATTCTGAAATCGAAATTTCTTCCATGTTGTATCTGTAGTAAAATTGAGCTCTAAATATTATTTAAAATTACTCTTGAGCACCCCCTAAAATGGCTTTTTTTGTTCTTGTTCCTCTCTTGAAGACCAAGTAATAAATCAAATATAACAGATACAATATGATTTAAATCAGATTTTTTTATATGATTTTTATGAATTATGATGATTTATATGATTTTGTTATATTTCCCCTGGAATCGCATAAATATTCATCACAGGCATATTCTATTTGAATGTAATTATGCACCAAGTTGTGCCATCAAAATATTCACAAACCTGTTACTGAAATATTTTGAGCCATTCAGAAAAAGAGAAAAAAACAGATAAATTTAAAAAACGAAACTTTACCATTTCTGCTAAAAAAAAAAAACTTAGCAGAAATGACATTGTTAAACTGAATACTCTAAACTGTAGGTCTTTAACAGTGGGTCCGCGACCCCCAGGTTCTGAGGTTCTGCATGGGGGTCATGAACATTTTTGTTGATTAGACTTTTTTTTTTCCCTGCAATTTTTCAACTAATTGAAAAGTCTTTAAATCCACATTAACATGAATTCGACACACTGTAGTAAACAGATAAATGGAGGCAGAAGATGTCTTTCAGTCATCAATGCACACATTCAGCGACACACAGGAGCTCTTTCAAGCTGGGAACCGTTTCAGTCACAACACCTGTCCCATCAACCAGGAATCAGAATCAGAAATACTTTAATAATCCCAGGGAGAAATTACTTTCGTTGCATTACTCCATCTGTAATAGAGTGACTATAGGACCAGTTTGATATAACACAATTACTACAATATATATAATTAAGGGGTCCCTGCTCCATCTCGCCTTCAGTTTGGCGCCCTGCTCTAAACAAAGGTAGAAGTAAAATAGTTCCTCATTTCAGGTTTTCAGATTTTCTCATTCTTTTCAGGTAATGTGGTGTTTCATCCAATAAGCAACCCTGTTACTTATGTTTTCATGAAAACACATATCAGCTCACTCTTTAATCATTTCTATTAATTTCAAGCAGCTATCAGGACCCCCCACAGTTTGTTATCGCCGTGGAGCTGCATATTAAAATGCCATTATACACCTGCTTCAAGAACCCACTGACATTTAGACAAGGCCGACAGCACTGTTAGGATCATGTTCTTTGATTTCACAATTCAGCCTGATTTACTTTGTGAAAAACCTCAGAAGACTCATATGGAGGCATCAAAAGTCACCTGGATCACAAACTATCTGACAGACAGTCCATAGTTTGTTAGACTGAAGAGTCAGCTGTCGAATTAAGTAGTCAGCAGTACAGGAGCACCACAGGGGACGGTACTCTTTCCATTCCTTTTTACTCTATACCACTCTGACGGACAATAAGCTGAGTACAGGGAGCTGGTGAACAGCTTCTTGGTATGGTGTGGAAAAAATAATGTGATCCCAATTTTTTACAAAACAAGGTAGATGACTGTAGTCATCTACAAATGAAAGGCATTACAAAACAAGGTAGATTTCAGAAGAAATAGGAACAAGTTGATCTGCATCTTCTGGGGAACCAGCATCAGAGCAAATGATTTAAAGAAGCTCAACAAGCTATTAAAAAAAGGCTGGTTCTGTTGTAGGAACGCCTCTAGAGCCTCTGGATATATCACTAAGATGAATTCTTCATAAAGGGAAGGATAATGAACAACAATTTAACATCCTCTTTTGAAGATTGTTACACATATTGAGCGTGTCTTGAGTCAGTGGCCTCTTCAGATCCAATGCAAGAAACACCCCTACAGAAGATTCTGCATTGAAAAACTGCAAATTAGTTACTGCAATTTAAATTCCTTTGGTATTTGTTACGGTACTTTTGACCTTAACTGAAATTAATTTAAATGAGCAGAATTACTATCGAATGTTATTTTATTCTACAGTTGATTTTTATATTAATTAGCAACTAAAGCTTTTGAACGAAATACTCAAGATTAGCATATATTTGAAGCCCTGTTACTGAGTGTAACAGGGTTGCATTTCTTTCAGAAAGGAAAGTTTATAGGCTATAATATAATGCCTACATTTTTGCATACTATATTTCTTTTACATACTATAGACTACTTTTGTTCTATTGCCACCCAATTTTGTAATGCTCGGGATTGACTGGAATTTATTAGATCATGTTTGAATAATTTTAATGTCTTTATAGAAGTTTAATCCTAATTTCTCTGGTCTGACTCATCCAGACCAGAAAGCAGAGTCATAGTTTAGCACACCTGTTACCCACTTACTACTCCAACCAGACAGTGTCTTTCCCATGCCAAAGTCAAATAAATTAGAAAAAATCGTAATGGAGTACATCATGATAATGTAATTAATATTACTCAAATTGGGGGTAAAGTTAAAATAATTAACTGTTGTTTATTCAACATAATATCTCTTTCTTCAAAAAGTCTGTTGGTTAATTGTTTGATTTGTGGCAATCAAATTGATTTATGTTGTCTTACAGAAATGTGGCTGCAGCGAGCGAGTTATCTTTCTAAATTACTATGTGTTGAGAAAATACATTTTTGGAAATATATTTGTGACTGTGCTTTTTATTTTATGTTTTTAATGTGGATATCAAGAGGACTAGCTGTTTGCCATGGCAACTGCTAATGGGGATCCTTAATAAAATTACAAATGTGAGCATAAATGAGGCTACTCCCTCTAGTTACTTAAAGTTTCTCATACACAGACTTTCTGGACAAAGAGGAGGAGTAGCAACAATCTTTCAGTCGGGCTTACTGATTACTCCAAAGCCAGTTAATAATTACAACTATTTTGAATATTTAACCATAGTTTCCCTCTTTCAAATCGCAAAGCAACAAAACTCCTTTTTTAACAGGTCCATCAGGTCCTTAGTAAGAATTTTTAGATCAGTTTTCAGAGTTTCTATCTGATTTTGTTTTAAATACTGATGAGGTCATTATAGTGGGGGGTTTGAACATATATGCTAACACTGAAGGTGATAGCTTAAATGGAGCCTTTAATGTTATCTTAGGCCTAGTTGGCTTTGTTCAAAATCTGAATAATCCCACACATTCTTATCTTTATACTTTAGATCTCTTGCTGACATATGGCATTGGATGTGAATCGGAACCGGTATTACACTGTTTTGATCCAGTTGTACTTTCAGAGTTATCAAAACTATTATCTTCATCTAAGCCTACAACTAGTATTTTAGATCGAGTTCCAACCAAGTTATTTAAGAATATATTCCATCAGATTTCCATCTCCATTTTAGATGTGATTAACACATCCATGTTTACCTTTACTTAAGAAACCATCTCTTGATCCAGATGACTTGGTCAATTATATACCTATATTTAATCTTCC